ATCTCTCTTACATTCTCAAACTGAGAATTACCTAATATATATAAATGATATATATTATTCTTAAAATAAATATTTATGTATAATGGTGGTATGTATGAAATGTGGATTAAGTATTGATATGTGTGGTTAAAGTATTGATATGTACCTGTGGGACACTAGTATACTTTAATTGACATGGATATTAACAAAAATATTAGAAAATCTTTCAATTCCATTTTTGAGACGACACCAATCTTTTTTCTTTTCTTTTTTTTTCATGCATGTAACATAATTATGCTATATGATTATTTTTATAAGTTTATTTTAAACTGCAAAAATATTTCTGTTTTCTTTTTGTACTACTTGTAATGAAATTTATTTGCACCAACATCCGGAGAATAATACAGAATTCCTTACATTGCCTACTTATATTTATCATCGACCTTTTGTTATTTACCCTGAGGGGCTCTCTTATCAGCAGGGTACTATATTAAAACACCAATACACAGCATGACTTTTGACACTTTAATCTTATGTAACTGTTTTCTGCTAATCAATACAATCAAGACAATAATGACAATAATATTTAACATACGTTTATGCCATTATGATTATTTTTACATTAATTTTGATGTGATAGAAACTGTTTTCTCTGATATTTTATTTTAAAAAAAAACAGATCTGCATTAAAGTGAAAAGGAAGTTGCAAAAGTTTTATAATCATGTATTTAAATATTTTCATTAAAATATATTATTTTCTAAATGTGTTTAAACTGACAAGGCAAATATGTCAAATCTATAATAGAAAAAATAACATTTCCCAAGTCAGAAACTTAAAGATGCTACAAATTTTAATGCACTCAGAATTGCAAGAAATGTGGATAAATATTGATATGAGGTCTTTCTAGAATAGTTAACACTGATATTGATTTTTAAACCAGTTTTTTATAAGATTAGAAAAATCAACTTCAAAGACAATAATGACAATAATATTTAGCATGCGTTTATGCCATTATGATTATTTTTTACATTTGATTATACAAAAATTATAGTCATTTATCTATGTCTTACATGTATTTTGAAATCAAAAAACAGGAAATTTTAAATAAATATTGTATACATCTGCATTTTTGTTATTTACCCCGAGGCCCTCTTATCAGCAGGAGACCAGTATAATGAAAACAGTCGCTCTCAGAAAAATACCAATACACAGCATGACTTGAGACTTTCCTCTTGTATAAAAGCATTCCCTTTATACATTAAATTTTTAATATAGAAATCTTGAATAAAGTTATCAATTTTATTTATTTCATGGATTATTTATATCTTTAAAAATTATGCAAGCATTTATTGGTTGAAAAGCATAATATCACAGTGCATGGATTGTTTTAAAATCAATGAATTAATATTCTCTTTCAATCTTGAACATGAGGAATTACCTCTAATAAGTTATATATTATTATGCAGAATGGCGAGAAATGTGAATAAATGGATAAATATAGAAAAATCCGCTTTAGAGACAATAATATATAATATGCATTTATGCCATTGGGTTTTTTTTTGTATATTTGATTACACAAAAATTATGGTCATTTATCTGTATGACTAACTAGCCTGAGAGCCAACGCCTTATGTCCAACATGCATTTTGAGAAAACCAGGGAATTTCAATGCATACTTATAATCGGAAAATTGACCGTTCTTTGTTATTTACCCTGAGGCCCTCTTATCAGCAGGAGAGTGGTATAATGAAAACAGTCCCTCTCAGAAAATACCAATACGCAGCATGACTTGAGGTTTTTGTCTTCAATAAAAGTATTCCCTTTATACATTAAATTTTTAATATTGAAATCATGAATAAAGTTATCAAATTTATTTATTTTATGGATAGTATTATAATTATTTATATCTTTAAAACATATGCAAGCATTACACAGTTTAATACAAAATTATCACAGTATATTGTTTTTAAAATCAACATCTGTATTAATATTCTTTTTGAATATTGATCATGAGGAGTTGTCTCTAAGTTATATATTATAGAAATAATATTTTAGCTTAAATATAAACCTTTCCTTGATTTGTTTGAGCTTATGAAAAAAAAGTTTATGTTGTTACAAACTAAAATAATTGGGCCCGAATTATCACATTGATTTTCCCATTTGTACACTAGAAAAATTGAAATATATGGCCATTAAAAAAGCTTTAAAAACACTTATTTAATTATCCATTTACCTTATCAATTCTATAAATTTGATTTTAAGGGGTATTATTTTACACTTAGTTAAATACTGGTAAATAGAAATATGAAAATTTTTTAATGAATAGGCCATATATGGAAGACGGACAAAACCCCACCAGTTAAAACCCCACCACTCAAAATTTTTGATTGATTGATTTTCTTTAGACCGGGCGGTCAAGGATAACCTACGAAAGTGCAAGCACTTATTTCCAGTAGGGTCCTTACCTCAGCAGACACAAGAGACAGCTATGAGATACAAGGAAATCCGGGAACCAGTCCCTAGCTCTTATTGAATAGATTCCTTGGTTCTTTTACATGCCCAGTGTATAGCACTGATACATGCGAGGATTACCTGGGTTTCGTACCAGTAAACCTCTAGTTAGGTGGGAAACACTGAAAGTGTTTCTGAAAAATCCCAAGGGTGTTACCCAGGATCGAACCCGGAACCTCAGGAGTGACAGTCAGTCGTCTAACCAACTGAGCTATCGCGCCACCAAAATAGAGTGGACAAAACCCCACCACTTAATTTTATAGAGTGGGCAAAATCCTACCACTAAATTTTACAGAGTGGACAAAACCCCACCACTTCAGTTTTATAGAGTGGACAAAATCCCACACTTACCAATTATTGGGCAATATTTGATGAATTAAAATATATATAATATACACATTTTTCACATTTTATTTTTCAATTTCAATATAACATTTGTGTAATATAAGAATGAACGATTTTATTAACAATGCATGTACATCTTGCATGTGCAATATGCAAGAAAGGTGTTACAAACTGTACACAAAAAAACTTAATCCAAATCCCTGAAGAACAAAACAGATTATTTAATGATGTTTTGATTGCAAAAAAGGTGTTACAAACTGTACACAAAAAACATCCAAATCCATAAAGAACAAAACATGATAATTATAGCATAAAACATTTATTTCAATAGCAATATAATACAATGAATGAGATTTTACAAACACTTTACAAACTGTTAAATCAACATCAAAGAGTAGTCATTTATTTGAGACTGTGCCACATTTATGACCTTGAATTATCAATTATTATGAGTTTCTTCAAATTCATTTCTTCAATTTATTTATATAAAAATAAACTACTTACTATTAATCAAGAATATTATTTTATAGCACAATTTCATTAATTATTAATGGTTAAAAATAACACATTTTGTATAGCACATTTCTAGTTTATTAAGTTGAGTCTATTTTCCTTCATTGTACGGATACAGTGACCGATAGCCTGAAGAAACTCAGGTACAGTCTTCTCCTTATTGATGAGTTGTTCACACATTCTTTTAAGTTTCTGCTGATGCACAATTGTTTGTTTTTTAACATGTTTACAAGAAAGTTTTGTCCACTCTAAAACTGAAGCGGTGGGGTTTTGTCCACTCTGTAAAATTTAATGGTGGGGTTTTGTCCACTCTATACAATTTAGTGGTGGGGTTTTGTCCACTCTATAAAATTTTGAGTGGTGGGGTTTTGTCCTACATTCGCCATATATATTCCCAAAGTTTTTTTTTATTACAGCAACTTAACAATGGATGCCCCCTGTCACTTGATATGCAATTATCAAATAAACCATTTAGGTGTCACCTTCCCTGGCCAGCCTGGTCATATGGTCTAGTGCACTAGAAGTGCACACGGTGTGCACTTCTAGTACAGCTCTAGTGCACTAGAAGTGCACAAGGGTGGGAAGTTTAGTGTGAACTCAACTGTACTAGTCTTACAAAAACATTGAAAACATTAGCAAGCATTGTTTCATATGTTCAGCATAGATAGATTTTCTGGTAAAAAATATATGTCATAAAACAACTACAAATTCAATGTCAACAGCAAAAGATACATGTAAACATGAATGTGCATGTGTTGATGCCATATATTCAATACCAAGGATGACACAAAAAGAAGGCATAAGCAGACTTATGTCTATTGTGGTCCTTAGAATTGATCATATGACACCAGAAAGGCAAAATAATTACTAATTATCAAGAATTGCACATAAATTATTCAGTCATAATTTCTTATATCAATTTTTGCACATAAATATTTCCATCACAAAATTTATCACACATGTATTATAATTATAATTATGACAGATATGTTTGACAATGAATAGGTACTACTAAAATATACATTGAATTAAAAAAATATATATATAAATAAAAACTAAGTAAGATGACTGGATTAAAATGACTAAACAGATATTGATTGCATAAAATGTTCCTTAAGAGTTTTTTTTAAATTATCAGACTTGTTATGAACCTAAGTTGGTAACCTGTTTCATTCCTGACAACCATTGAATACAAATGTTTTCTTTCCGAAACCCTTAGCTCTTGGAATAGAATAACTGTTACTATCTCTAAATTGTCTTGTTCACACTTTAGCCGACTAAAAATAAGCAATGCCGTCTATTAAAATTTCAAACAAAAGTGTAATGTTCGACCCAGAACAGAATTAAAGTAAAAAAGGATTTAAACCTCAGCCGTGATATAGATAAAATCAAATTCAGCGTACTCGAAATAGGTGAGGAAGCACATCTACCTGCTTGTACTTAAATACCGTTTTGGATGAAAATTTTCTGACAATCAAACCAGTCTATCGGCTACGACAGGTCTAACATACATGAAATAGAAAGCGAATATTTATATATCAACTTAAAAGGAGATAATTCATAACGTTGTTGGTATGCTTCATTTGCCAGTTTCGGTATGCCTTTATAAAATGACAATTCTTATATTAATTATTTCTTATAAACTTTTTAGAAATTCAAGTTGCCACGGCACCGAAAATCTGATTCGTCGGAATACATGTATTCCAGTAGAAGTACAAGACAACAGGTAAGTTCTATTATCTTTTTGTATCTTTTTATTGTCACAACAATGTACTATAGAGACTTTATTGTTGAAAGATGACCTCAGATATTCATCTGTGCATTAGTTAATGCACGAATAAGAACCCGAGTAGTAATATCGATGTTCCGAAAGCTGATTGGATGGAACATTAAGATTCGAGCAAAAAATAATTTTATTTTGATTTGTTTCGTCTGTACAGTTTGCCTCGATGTTCCCTTTTAACTATTACGGCGAGTTGAAATTATATAACACCAAAGAGGTGTGCTTTTTTGATTTCAAATACTATATATAAATAACCAAGAGGAGATCAAAATATGCAAAATAGCCATAACAAGATAAATAAAATTACGGTGAAAACTACAGTTATTGTAAAGTCATTTAATAATCGCATATTTCACATAAATTATCGCTTAAATCTTCTTATTTTTTCAAAGTCGTAGAACATATTTGTCATATTTGTTCTTCTTGAAACTAAATTTATAACTGCAGTACTAGGGTACATGTAACGTATAGCCTTTTTTGCTAAAACATATGTCAAAATTAAAAGAATATCGTGAATCTGACGATTGACTGTTAGCATAAAAAAGAAGAAAAAAGTAATATTCGACGTAAAATTCATTAAATGAAGTCTTACATTCTATCAGAATACGAACTTAACTTCACACTATTGTCCTCGATAAATCATGTAGAAGTTAGACATTGTTTTATGCATACATATTAAAGGTTTCCCACTGTTCCTAGCATTGGTAAATTAAAAATCAATGACATTTATGCATTCACAATTTGTATATTATTTAAAAGAACCCGACAAAGGTCCAAAAGCCTAAATACAAAACTTTTGAATATTTTGGTTACTTAAAACAGAAAGATTTGAAACAGATTAAAAGAAAATGATACATAAACAAATAAATTGAAAGACGTACTTTTGTTCTATTCTTACCATGAATTTAGTAAAAAGTGTTGCAACACTTTTCAGTTAGGGGTATTTGTTTCACAATTTATTTAACATTATTATTGAGGAAAACGGAATGAGCGAATGATCTGAAATTGTACACACACGTTAATGGTCTAGGCAAACATCAAATGAAACATTAATTTCGAAATATAAAACTTTAATACATTAGCAAACCTTGCATCAGTTGGTGTTATTTGTCGGCTGGTAAGTGTTGCTTTATCAATTTCATTTATTTGAAGATACGAGTTCTTTTTAGCAATGAGTCAAAATCAGAATCAGAATCTTGCAGCTGACACATACTTTGAAATGGGAGCATTATAGTTTTTTTTTTGGTAAATGCAAATGAAATACGTACTTGTCTAAGCTGGAAGATATTGTCAATGACATGTTAATTAAGTCCTCTAAATAAATCAGAATTTTCTTTATTGAAGTCTTCTATGTTTTAAATGAACGTGTTCTGTCAGAGACCATGTATATTTCATTAATAAATAAAATGTGAATAGAAGGAAAGCGCTCTCTTATTGACTGAAGACTTCTTGTTATCAGCTCTTTGAATTCTGATTCTCCTCCATGTTTAACTGGCAGTTCGAAGACAGAATGAAGGGCGTGTCCTTTGATTTTTGTTGCGTTGATAGCAGTTTGTTCACAAACTATAACAGTATATCCGAATATATATGCAGTGAAAATGTTTATCAATTCAACTTAAAACTCTTAAAGAAAATACTTCCCAAAGACTACAGTTATAAATAACTGTAGAACACAAGAGAAGTCTAGTTCTTCTCTGCTGGTAGTGATGAAATACATCATCAAAACACGTTTCTGATCTATATGAAAGGACTTAACCATTTCACTTATTTCATTTTCGCTCATTATATTAACTTGCTTTGCAATCATTGGCTGCTCTTAATTGACATTTATGGACTAACATACGAAAGATTATCATTTTCTTCTTTTAAAATGTTAAAATGTTGGCTGATGAATATGATGAGTATTCTTCTGTAAAACATGTAAAACATATCTACTGATTCATTGTATGATTCGTAAATTTTACGGGCTACAATAATACCAAGGTCTATATTTGTTGCACTAACCATCTGCACAATATGTTTAAGGTTATGTAAGTTCCTTTTTTGATCTTCAAAATTGAACAAATATTGTTTTGAGTGACGCCTATTCTGCTGAATTACAATGTTTGCTGAAAATGATTCTGTTATAAATGGTCAGTAAAACATCAGAACAGAATATTATGAATTATCATTAGTTGGGTTGAATTAATTGCAGGTTTCACTCGCCGTTAAATAATTGTACATGTATCACTTTTCATTAACTTTCAGCGTTGTGGCACCAAAGACCAGGTTGTATTGTGGTAGAAGATACTTTGTACCACGATGCAAACTGCATAGATGAGGTTTGTGCTACACAATCTGGACGATCTTTTGATAATCTGTTATATTTTGGAAAAAGATATATGTACAGTTTGTGCTTAAATTGTTACGGCCTTTGTTCGATTTTAATAATCGGACACGTTCTTTTTGCGTTCACAAAAGTTCAAGAAGACCAAATCAATTGTAGATTTCCAAAACGGGCAGAAGTCTCTTGTGCACTTAAACGTCAACTTTCAAGAACAAAATTACCAATTAAGTACAGCTGTCTCTATAAGGAACTTTTTGTTCTGAGATGTTTTCAAATACATTTTTAGGGCTGGTCTTAGCTCATCTGGTTCAGTTTTTGCTATAACTGCAGACAAATATGCAAGGCCATGAACACTGTTGACCATTTCTACATCTAAAGGCGCCCGCCATTTTTTAATAATTCACCATTGTAAGCATCCATTGTAAGCATTTATATACACATCTGATTTTTGTTGGGGGAGGGGGGGGGGGAGTTCACGTTCTTTATTTTCCTCGTCAACAGGTATATGTAGGTCGAGGGCATCCTACTGTATACCGTACAATAAATATGTGGACAGCATATAAATAACAATATCAAAATAATACATGTACATGTATTGGTATTGAAAGCGTTTTCTTGACTACAATTCTAAAATATAATATTTTGCATATAATCATAATATATCACATATATTTCAATTCACAGATAATTTCGTTAAATGTATTTAAACCCAATAAGAAAGGGAAAAAGGCCTGGCAAGTTATATATTTTGGATGTTATTTATACTTCTGGCTATCGTTTTTAGCTTTACAAGCAAAAGAAAGAATAACTATGGATCTATCTTTTCACAAAACAAATTCAATGTCTTAAGTAAGGTATCTATATCATAATTTGAAAAATTGCTGTCTCTCTGAAATTTATTAACTGGTACTTTATATATTGTTTTGCTCTTGTAATATTGGTACCTGTCTGTTTATTCTATAGTTGTAAATATATATTTTCAGACAAAGGAAATTAATATTCATTGCAGTTGAAGTACATCTTTCAAACAAAGAATATAGTTACAACAATTACATCATTGCTTTCTCATTTTTTTAGGACACCTTTATGAAAATATGTAAAATATATCAAATAAACCAAACAACAACAAACAATTAAACAAACAAACAAACAAAAAACGACAAAAAAATAAAAAAAATAAATAGATAAAAAAGAAGCAAATACATGGCTTCTTATCTACCTAGTGTATTTTAAAAGTTACTTTTGGAATCGTATTTAAAGGATGTATGTTTCTTTGTATCTGCCGAAAAAATATACATGTGGACATAAATTATGATAACATCAAAAAACTCGAGCAAAAACTTGTGTCATACACATACATTTTAATTTTTTAAACAATTTTGAAAATATGTTTTAATCAGCTGCATATTCATTCTTCACTTCAGACTTATAACTTCCTTTATTGAGATATTATTTTATTTGCAATGCATTTTGTTCGGAACGAAATGATATGAGCAGTTAAAGGAATTGTAATATCAAATACGTTCTCATTTTTATTTAATGAAAGAAATCAGAAGTCTTTTGCATTTTATGTATTATACATTAATTTATTCTTTTAATTGCTACCAAACTGAACGGAGTTTGTAATTTGTGTAACTATATGTAACCGCACACACATATTTAATCAGTGGTTTTAGTATTGAGTTGGATCAAATTTGTTGTATTTCTAGCACATGGTTCATGTTATTAAGTAAAATAACCCTTTAAAAAGAAAGCATTAACATAAACAAAAACATACCATGTTTCAAATCTGTATCTTTTTGATTTGCTAGTTAAGTAATAGACAAGTTGATGTAGAACAATTCATACTAACATATTATAGTTTGAAACTATATATCTAAATAACACAACCATATTTATTCTAGTTTCAACATGCCACGCGAGTGGATTATCATGGTCTAAGAGAGGTAAATAAGCTGAATAGAGATTCAAGGTGCAAATAATGTTATCTCATTTTTGTGCTAAACTGTATATCAAGCAAAACAGTCATATACATGTACCTGCTAAACTTATCCAGTAAATTGTCAATATTAACAGTTTTGAAAGAAGAGTCGGCAAGTTAAAATATTCGTTCAGGTTTAATTATTCGATGAATTTAAAAAAAAACGATTATATATCGATAAAAACAAGTATAAAGTCATTGTTATAAATACAAAAATAGTTGTTTAACCATAATTAAATTTCAAAAATAGTTTTAGTGATTTAAAGTTCAAAGATTCAAATCTTTTGTAAGACGGAAGAAAATTTCAAACACTGATCTAAATCGTAATCAAGTAAAATTATATGCAAAGCACTAGTACTTTTTACAAATAACAATAAATGTTTCTCGCTGTAGTATGGTATATCGCTATACACAATTAGTTTATCAGCAGGACGGTCGTCTTATCCTCCTGAATATAAATGACAAAAATCTTACCCTCATGTAACAACGCGTTTTTCAAAGAGTCTCGTAGTTCAATCGCACAACGGAGAGCACGTCCTGGTTGATCTTAGTGAGGTCATCATTTAAATAAATTGAATGTTGGCGCGGTTGTTTTGCGTGTTTGAAAACATGGATCTTGTTTTGTCGTCGAAATATTTTTTCAATTACTAGTTTTTTTCGCCTTGTCCATATTTTCCTAGACGATGTGCGACCTCAATATCATGAGCACTGAGCTTGAGTTTAATTGTGCTTATGACAAGTTCCGTAGTTATTTCTGATGAGTGACGGTTTGTGTCTCCATTTAGACCAGAAATGCGGACATTGTTTTAACGCCCATACTGCTAAAGTTCATTTGTCACTTTATCAACGTACAATTTGTCAGATTTCACGCGGTCTTTCAAATGTTTGTTGTCTTGCGTTAGATTTTCTATTTCAGATATATTTATGTTTTCTTTTGCAGCAGCTCTATTTATTTTGCTTGATCCATGACGTCGCTTTCTAGTATTTAGATAATGTGAATCAGCGGCTTTAACAGATCGCCTTTGAGTTCACAGATTGTGTCTTGGATGATTAGTTTAAGGAAGCAGGTGCCATTTTTTGGTCAACATATTGCCGAGTATTTCATTAAAAAGTGTAAACTGCTTTTCCACGCCATTGCTTCAGGAAGTATCACAATCAATGCTTTCCTTTGTGGGCGTGCTTGGTTCTGCTGTCTGTAATGTCTGACTGCTCACTCCACTCGAGTCAATGTCGCTGAATAACGCAGATGTGGGCCGCTTTTTGCTATTATCCTCACTCATTGTATTATTGGAGATTTACGGTAAACAACTGATTAGATAATTTTGCGACACAGTCAAGTGTGACGAAATTGTGGACAAGATCTCAGTCCGCACTCAATTTATTTCGTTTCCGTTCATTTTTACGGTCATGTAATTTTTTTATTTTGTAATTGTGAATGTCGTTTTAGCTCAAAGAAAAATGTATAAATAATTGACGTTTAATCAAATTGAAATTTTTATAGAAAGTTAATAAACGTCTTGTCGATACGAAATATCCGAATCAACAAATCCGTAACGCAAATGAAAATGACGAAAGACACCTAAAATCTGAAAAAAATGTACCAATGGACATAACGAAAGACACCAAAAACGAAACAAAAACAAACTCAAATAAGCTGTCTAATGTAAAAAAAATACTTTGGACAAATAGTTATAGTAAACAAACCACTCAGTCGTTAGCGGTTATATAAAAATACTTCATTAATGAATAAATATATATATATGAACATTATCCACTTTTATCAATTCTATTAAAGTAACAAGGTTATACTTGTTAAGTTCTTTTCTATTGTGCTTTTTACAACTCTCTTGCGGAATCGTAAACGTTATTGTTATTGGTGGTTCATTTATATTTGAATAAATCTTGAATTCATTAAAGCAGCGTAAAATAGTTTGTAAGTTGATGGCTACATGGTACTTATAAGTAATAAGAGAATGCATAATTACACAGAACATAAAGATCTAAAACTTACCTTATGTAGTAGAAGAACTTATAAATATAGGTAATTCGTTTCCAGAAGTCCTTTAAAATCTTTTTAATTAAAATTTAACTTGTTAACCATGTCGGATAAATCCTTAATGTTATTTTACTAGGCTAGTCAGATTCCGAAATTCAGCTTGTTCGGTCAAATGATCAATGAACTTTATACATATATTCAATTCTTCCCTGCTAATTTGACAAGGATCGGAAACAGACGGCCTTCGGCCGAAAAATCTACTTTTATCAGAGAACCGGTTTATAAATATATCCAAAAAAGAGCTCAGAATAGCTCACTAGGACAATATCCAACTGGAAATATCTCAGTAAAACAGCTCACTGGACAAAAGCCAAGTCTACTAGCACACTTATATATTTCATTAGGACAAAAGCTCCATAAAGATGGGTGTTCAAATATGAATTCAACTGGGTAAATTTTAATAACAGCTTAACAGACGGTGCCAAAATGGTTGTAAATTGTGCAACAGTAACAATTAAATCCTTTACTTAGTCAACAATTTATGACGAAGTTGCAGATTTCGGACGCCGTGTCTGCGGTGTACTCTTACTGTATCCACACGTATTTGGTGAGTAAAAGGAGACCTATTCCCAAACATTTAAGCTTTAATATACATGAAGATAGCTTTAATCGAGTTATTGTTAAAGCTAGACTGAACGTATTTACATATTTGAGCCGTGCCATGACAAAATCAACATAGTGCGTTTGCGACTAGCATGGATCCAGACCAGCCTGCGCATCCGCTCAGTCTGATTGGCATCCATGTTGTTCGCTTACAAACCCTTTTACAAATAGTGAAAGTGATAGCGATCAGCATGGAGGCGCAGGCTGGTCTGGATCCATGCTGGTCGCAAACCCACTATGTTTGTTTTGTCATGACGCGGCTCATTTATTTATCAATTGAGAGCTAACACTACCATCTATACAATACATGTACATAGTTCGTGCAAAACATGATGGAAAGCCAGATATTAGCATAGTCACATTCATATTTGAACACCCCTCGTATAAGATGTTTTAACTAAGGATTAAACGAGATCGTGATAGTTGATAAAACTATATGCGATAATAAAATTTAGACAATCCTTCATTAAACAAATAAGAAGATTCATATTGAATTTATCTTAAAAGAGTAAAATATGACGCATATTCAACTTTATATCCTGGTGCTTAGAAATAAAATATAACTGAAACCCTTATTCTAGAACATATAATTTCAAAATGTGTACTTTTCTTTCAGAGAAGATGATTGACGATTTTGCTTTGTACATACAAGGACCTATCCTTAATCCCAATTTGAACGATTTTTGTAGAAATGCATTAGATTATGTTTCATATCAAATATCTTTACCCTGTGGTTTCAGCGATGGCGATTTTGTTCAGTTTTTACTACACACATATCATAAGAAAATATATAACTCGGAGAGATGTCAATGTTAACCATAGAGATAAAGTTTATGTTAGATAAATAACTTCCATTATAAAAGCTGCATGCCTCCAAATGAGCCAAAATATAATTTAAATATTTCAAGAAATCACACTTTGGAAAAATGTACTAAGAATGTAAGAAAAGTAAAAAGATTAAAGATTTAAGTGATAATTTATATCTTATGTGCAATAAATGACTAACTTTACATTATTCATTAAATTATATGTACCGCGTAACGAACACAGTAGGGGCTATGTTTGCATATTTTTACCTGTTTTTGGTAATTTTAGTATATTTTAAGTGTCGATTGCAATGTGTTAATTCTTTCTTTGTTCAATTCACAATATTTTATTTTTTAATACATGTTCAAATTATTCGTGAACTTTAGGATGAATCTCGAGACGTGCTGCATTAAGTAGAGACATAAACTTGACCTAGTCGAATAATCAGGCGGAGTTGATACGAAGAAGTAAAAATATTTCTTTTTATAAAAATCTTGATATATCATTCAATCAAACTCTACTTCTTTACCTTTAAAAAGGAGAGAACCAGAAATGTTCCGGAGTGATCTACTTCGGCAAGTTATGAAAGAACGATAATTTATATAAATTGTGAACTGTATATTTGTGCTAAAATTTCTTTTTTTCTATTTCAAAAAAGCCTGGTGCTGACTCGGGATTAATAAGCTTACAAGATGACGTTCATGGGGAACAATTCGGCGAAGAAATTGTAAGTTAAATAATTGTTTACATTTCCTCATTTTTTTATTTTGGATTACTTATTTGTACTTAATTTATCAACTTTAAAATACTGAGGCATAATAGGTAGTTTGAAATGTCATCTCTTAACTATCTGGGTGATGAGACAGAACTATTGTATCATACCCTCTCCATCCCTGCCCCCCCCCCCCCAAAAAAAAAAAAAAAAAAATAATTGATATGAGTTTCGTTAAAATAAAAATTGTCAACTGCTGTTTTCCTCAATACTTGTGATAAAAACAAATATGCAATATGTTAAGCAGACTAAGCAAGCTGCGTCAGGACGTATGAATGGTCACAAATTTGATGATGCATTGTAATTTTACAGATACCTTATCATCCTTAAATGTTGGACCACACTTAAATTTGAATGAACATAATTTCAATGACTTTTCATTCATGCCCATAATTTAAATTAAAGATAAAATTGACCATGGAAAGAAACTTTCTGGATATATAAAATAGAATCACAATATCCGGAAGGAATGAATATAAAATTGTAATTCATTGCCAATAGATACGTAATTACATGTTTATCATAATGTTTTGTGGATATTTTAGTACAGTTTTGTTCTTGTTCTTGTTAAACGTTAAGCCCTTTTGGACATAAATTACTGCATTTAGCTTAAATCAGTGATCATAACCAGCAAGTTTTTAATTGATGTTTTTTTTATTGTTTTGAGGAAATGATTCAACTGTTTAACAGCTTTTTGTAATAATCTACTTTTTGCTTTTTTATTTGTGGAAACTATTTGTCAGGAATTGAAACACGTAAGTATTCACAATGTTCAAACACGACTATAAGGTTTCTAAGACCGCACTAAATTCATGTACTATAAAATGTTTTATGATGTATAATTTTACTTTTATGATATAACATGACATTGGAATAATTTTTCAATTGTAACTGGTAACCAGTTTTCTTCCTATTACACCTTTGAACCGTAAGAAAATTTAAATTTTAAACACAGCTATTTCGGAGCATTATGAAATATAAATTTAAAATACAAGCTTGGAATTCTTTTTATACGGCAAATGACCTTGCCTAAAATGTCTTTACCTTACATGATAAAACATACATGTTTTCAAAATTATGTTTCCCGAAACGAGAGGACAGAACGACACTTGACAATAATTACAGTCAGTAACCTTTATATTTATGCTCGTATTCTTGGGGTTTCTCATATTCTCGGGATTGAGTAAAAACGGAAGGAATCCATAGTCATGACCAACTCGGATATCCGAAAATGCACCAACTTTCTAGCGCTTATCGTTATTCATTAATTGAAGAAGAAAATGAGGCAGAAGCATGTAAAACTAATAAATATGTCATAATTTTGTTAAAATATACCCAAACAGTTTTTAATGATATAGATACAAAATTAACGTTATTTCGCTGATTAAATTCTAACCACAGCAACAGGAGCTAGACGCTGTAAAATAACATAGGTCGAACGATACTATTTGTACTAAAATTTCTGTTCCACTCATTTAATGTTAGTGGTCCAAAACGCCAATTAAATATCAATTAAAAACAATTTTGTGTTCTCTATCATTTTATTTTTTCCTTAGAATGCCAAGGTCAACATGCATTAAATTTATTATAATAACACCTAGGTTTTTATTTATGTTTATTTTTTTTTAAAAATCATCCAAATCAAATACTTCAAATGAGTCGTCAGTACGACCAAAATAATTTATTTGATAATTGCTTATCAAGCTGTCAAAGAGAATGTTTCGAATGTTGAAAAGGCAGCAATGTCTTTTGGCGTACCTGCTCAAACCCTCAGAGATAGAACTAGAGGTGCAATAGACCCCTCTTCTTGCAGAACAGGTCTTTAAACGACCCTGTCCTATGAAGAAGAGGAAACTTAAGTCGTTCATACTGAAGATATGGCAGAACTAGGTTATGGCGTTTCCAATCGTCAATTTCATGTGATGGCTGGTGAGCGTAAAGTAACCTTAGAAGAACTGATACTAAACCACTGAACAATAACTGGCTGTATGCATTTTTTTGCTAGATGGAAACATCGTTTAGCTTCCCTTGCACCACGCAAGTCGGGGCCAACATGTACAAAATCAGCAACACCAGAAGCAGTTTGATAATTATTTCAAGAATTAGAGGGAAAAATGACCAAACATAATCTGCATTCTAAACCCAATATTATATATAAAGTGGATGAGTCCGGTATCCAGCCTATTCATAGACCACCAAATGTTATTTCTTCTCCAGGAAGTAAGTTGCAAGCTGTAACATCACCTAGGTCAACATCCACTACCTTAATTGCATGTGCAAATGCATTACGCAGTATCATACCCCCATTTTTCATTTTTAAAAGGAAACGTTTTAATGAAGACCTGTTGGAAGGTGCAAGTCCTGATAGTCGTGGTGGGTTCAGAATCGGGGGTTTCCAACTGCAAAAGGTGTAGAAAGATGTCTATATGATGTAATAGGTTAAAAGAGTTATCTTGTTTACTGAATTCATTTCATCAAAACAATCGTTTGCTTTTTCCTCTATGTTGTTAAAGTTACAAGTTGTCCTATTCTATTAGAGGGTAAGACGATTCAGCATAAATGTTAACTTTCTGCTCGAGTTGACTAGTATACCTATGCCACTTAAATAAATACTGACCTGTGGTGTTATTCTGACAAACAGTATATGAATATCTAAATACTGCACTTTTGTAATAATCTAGGTTTTAAGGTAAGTAAAAAGTGTAAGATAGCAATTCCTACAGACAGTCATAGGCAAATTTTACCACAAATTAATGGATGGATGATCACCAAACTCGATGTGTAGCCTTCTTAAAGGTTCTTAATCAAGTTTGATCAAATTAATTTGATTTGAGCTGAAAATGGAAAACAATCAAGCAGCATGAGACGATATGCTTGTTTCTATCATTTTTACTACGAAGAATAAAAAACAAGCAATGTAGGGAAACTTGATAACAAGAGATGCAAGTTGTAGTTGAGCTGGACTTGTCCTTTTACAAGTTCATTTGAAAAGTATTTATATAATCACTGAAAAACAGTTGTTTCAAGCGATTCATGGCCATCATGGCCCTCTTGTTTTTATTTTTGCAACAAAACTGTTAATATAATATGGCGACATAACTGGTGAACTCGTGTACCCATCCGTGCATTAGTTCAGGAACAAATAAGAAACTGAGTAGTACCATCGATGTTCCGTAAGCTGATCGATAGAACATTAAGATTCGAGCAGTGAACCGTGTGCTAAAGGGGTTAGTTACTACGGCAAAATATCTCTAATCATTATCAATAAATGGGTAAAAGTCAAAGCAAAATATTACAGTGACAAAGTTCTAAAGCCATTTTACAAGAAAAAGACTTTTTCCTGGACGAGTGATTGCATAACATCTGCAGAATTGATGCCAACAGGCCCAGATGCAGCTCCCATGGACTTTGGTATCTGTGGAACCTTTAAACGTAGACTATAGAAACGCTATATTTATATTACGTCCAGTCTTAAAAAGCTCTCAAAGACGAATGGAGCAAACTTGACTAGACATGGATAAACATTACTTTAGACAGCTGGCCAAAAAGATGTAGAATGATTTACTATTGGCATAGATCCCATATTTAGCATTTGTTGAAATTAAACACATGCGTGTAAATAATTAGACAGGTTTAAAATATGTTTCATAATAGATTCAACACCTTTCGTACATATTCATAAACATGTCCTTTCTTACGCATATATGAGCATCTCTTTGTTTTGTGAAAAGAGCATAGTTACTTGGCATATATCAATAGTAGTCTCAAAAAAGTGAAATAAAATAATCATGAAATTTGTATAAAAATCTCTTTGCCGTGTAGGTTACATAGTATCATACTGACAATTGAAATAAAACATTTTTCAAGGTTTCTAGATCTAGGTAACTTAAACATGCATTTAGCCGTATATTTCTCGTCTGTGCGCTGCTTATCTTTTTATTCATCCCTTATTATTCAGATCATTCTAAATATCTGGTTTTCTAAGTCTGGTGTTTGCTCTTAAAATTTAAGTAAAGCTTGAAAAAACTTGGAATTGATATTTTAGGATTTAAATGTTATAACTGATGCAACAAAATTATAAAATGAACGTCATAATTGTTCAAAATGAACAAAAGGACATATAACAAGGCATCGTTACAGATACCAAGAAACAATTAAGCGAAACAGTAGACTGGTTCTCTGTTAAAAGTCTAACCGAACGGCATTCTTAAGTACAAGCATGTAGTCATACGTTTTTACATATGCAGGGTACGCTGAATCCAGTTTTTGCTCTACAACGGCTGTACTTGAAGTCATTGACCTTCTAAAAAGGTCAAACACAGACTTCTACCATTTACTTTTTTCATTTCTAGTTTTTAGCGTTAAAATCTAAAACATGGTATCACACATAAAAGAAAGTAATGTTATTTAAAATAATTAAAAATATGGCTATATTATTAAAGGACATGGTAAAAGACATGCAAATGATACTTGGATAATAAATACATTGTAAAATCAGATATTCATCACAGAGTTAATGCGCAGAAAAACATTTACTCTTACATGTCTTAGTTTCTACACTTTACTGACTTTGACTAAAAAAGATTAAAATAGTCTCTGAAGAAATGAGTCTTCAAGTCTTTCTTGAAACTATCAACTGATGAGCATTGTCTGATATTTAATGGAAGATCATTCTAGAGTTTCGGGCCGATTGTACTGAAACTTCTGTCACTGAAAGTTTTACACTTATTAAAAGGCACTTCATAACTGTCAACTGAAAATGATGATGATCTCAGAGAACGTTTTTGAACTTTAGGTGTAAGCAGGTCGGTAAATAAGTTGGTGCATTTGCAGATGTTTCTAAATTCAAAATTTTACTATTTCATGTTTAAATGTTAAATTCTGCTTAAGCCGGTGCTAGGGGGCGTGGACAGTAAATTGCACTTTCCAGTATCGTCCATGTCCAGGCTCAATCA